AAAACAGGTATGTACATATACATGCACACATATACACACATCCACGAACACACATACATACATACACATACATACCCACAAACAGAGGCATGTATACATACATGCGCACATATACACACATACACGAACACATACATACACCTACATGCACACACACACATACATACACGCACATGCCTACACACATACACAGGGACGATGCTGGAGACAGATAATATGGCAGTGACAAAGGGTGGGACAGGTAGGTAGTGATTCCTGATCACTGGTCTCTCGTTTCCGCTCGCGAGACGCAACCACCTGTGCAACCCTTTGTAAAACGATCCTATCGGTGCGTGTTCCCATCGTTGTCTTAAACTAACCGCTCTCAACCGTGAAGTTTTATCCACGAAAATTTTCTGTCAATCAGGAAATGAAACAAAAAAAAAATATAAAAAACAAGAACTAAGAAATATGCAAAGTGTTCTAGAGAAACTATATCTTATTATTTTTTATTTTTATTCTTTGAAATTTTGATATTTTTTGACACTTTAATATTTTTTATTCTTCTAATACATACACATTTTATTTTTTTGTAATGAAAAAAAAATAAAAAATGTAAACATATAAGGGAAGGAGTGAAGCCGGGACATCACGGATTATTAGGGTGCATTTTGCGAACTGATAGTCGGACGTGGAACATCTGCAAAACGGTAAGTATGACTCCAGAGCTAGACCTGGATTTTATTTGCTGGATATAGCTCTTGATATATTTTAGTGTATTTTTATATATTACCATTAACAGTTTTATTACTGTTTGCATTGTCCAAGTTAGAATCCCAAAAATTCACTCTGAGGCGAAAGTACTTGGAAGCAGCTCGGCGAGGGGGGCGAGGTGGTGGGGAGAGGAGCACGTACCAATAGCAATCACCAGCTGATAAGGCTGTTGATGGCCTTTCATTTAAGGATTATTTACAAGCAAATTGATGGCAGATTTGATTCTTTAGCAAGTACCAGTACCAGTTAGCCATTAAAACGAATGAACGAATCGCAGAAGGACTGAGAGTCGCACTGACAACGCCGAACTTTCGACCTTAGGATACGATCACTGTGAGGATATCTGCGTTTCGCAGTGTCGCTATACGCCAGAAGCTTTTTTTAAATTGAGTCGAAGCGAAACTGTGTTTTTAGCTGTTTCAGTTATACTACGAGTGAATGGCCATCTTTTAGCTCACATGTGAGCAACCGCGGGCCGTGATCGGTTTTAATCCGGTCTGCGAGGGAAATAGGAATGTGGAGCCTAACTAGACGAAAGGCGTCAAGTTTAGGGCAAAACGCATGATCGCACGGGCAAGCCTTGGTGCGTTGCTACCTGGCATTCGTTAAAATGTGGCCCGCGAGCTTAAGTGTGTAAATTTGGCCAGCATGTTGTCAAAGGTTGCCCATGCCTGCTTTGGCTTATCCGATCCATTAAAAAATACCGGAATTCAAGTTCACGATTTCTTCTGCCCTTAGCTAGAAAAGGAGAGATTCTATTCAAAATTGAAGTTTCAAGTCACCATATGTGGGATAAAGAAATTAAAATCATTAAATTTGCAGCAGTCAGAAAATTAAGATATCGGAATCTCGCGAAACTGACTTGTTTCGTTCTTTGGGCTTTATGCTGTGCAGTATAACAAAATGAAAATTCAGGACTGATTTTACGCTCTTAAATCTTGCATTACCAAAAAATCAAATTCCTAGAATTCCGGATTTGAGGGTTTTTTTCTTTCTATTTTTAACATCTGCTTAGACTTAAATATGACTCAACCTGCAAGAAAATTTGGAAACTGACTTTGAATAATTCACTTTGCATTAATTGTCAAAATAGGATTCAGGAATTTTGGGTCATTCGTTTTTAAGTTATAATAATGCATTAATTCGTTTTTGAAGCTACGGCTTAAAACTGCACTTGAAATCAGAAACCACGCAAACAGAGAGAACTGAAAATTTAAATTTTTGACTCCTACATGGTCGAAGGTTTCGTTTCGTTAAAAATACGCCCTCCTTTGCTTTTGCAGCTATTAAACTGCATTATATGGTTAGAAAAACGCCAAACAACACAGTCAAAACATCTCTTATATCAGGAAAAAGCATAAAAATTATGCCCTGCAGACCTACAACGGTATCACGAGCGCCCAGCAATCAAACAAAATCTTTCAGACTGTCACTCACAAATCAACCAAATGCACTCAAAACGCGTCCACTGAATTTAATAAATTAACCCGGTCCACCGATTTCCATACATTTTTTCTTCAATTCTCTACACATTTTATGAATATCGGTGTTAAAAAACAATGACCAGGTTGCCGAAAGAATAAAAGGATTTTTGAGTATGGGGCTCTAAACAGAACATTACGGGACGCAAATGCATGCAAAAACACTTCCCTCTTCCGAAATTCAAAAAAAAATTTACACTCAAACCCAAATAACTGAGAAAAAAGCTGGCTTAGGATGAGTAAAATGTAGAAGATTATGTGCAGACGCTTCACCCTCACCGATCATCTTATCTCATCCTCAGAAAGTCATCCCAGTAAAAACTACATGTCGCACAAAACTTTCAAAAAAATGCTTCGTCAACATTGTAATAACAGTCTAATTCTCGATTTCGGCGCAAATGAACGAAAAAATAGCCCATGGTCCAGTCTAATATCACAGGATAAAATCTTCCGAC